CACTGTGCTCGAAGGGTTTCTCGGTGATCATTTTTGGTGTTTTTACAGCTTTATTTATTGATTGTGGAATTCAAACCATAGGGTATTTGAACTTCATCGACTAATCATCTAGAAACAATTAAAAGTCACTTGTTGTTGGACAATTGGATAGCAAAGGTGTGAAAGATAGTGGCAAAGCAAAAAATCTTGATTGTTCGTGATCAAGATTCTCAAAGGTGTTTGAAGGATTTGCCGAAGATATAATTGTAATCACGATTTCTATCTAAACATAAAAACGATCCTTGAAGAAAATTGAAATTAATTTTAAATTCTGCCGAGTGTGTATAAGTAAATTGCCAACAGGAATAGCTGGTCAAAGAACTTGTTATGAGTTCTTCTCAAAAATCAATTTATATCTTCTTCCGACAAATTTGTTGATTCTAATCTATTTCTCAAGTCCTAGATCATGAATCTAGGCTTAGATACCAGTTGCTAACAATTTTAATCGTAAAACCAAGTTCTCGACCACAAATTTCAAAGATAAAATGGCTAAAATATAAATAAGGAAAAATTGAGATCAAACGCAAATCCAAAAGACTTAAGGCCAAGTTTTTCTCACATTTCACCAACAATCTCCCATCAACCACACTATCTAGTTTCCTTCTCATCATGAGGTAACAAAACCTTTAGCAAGAGCTTCATTCACCAAGAATGGTTGAAGAAAGAAAAAATCACACAAAGAATCAACAGTAAGCAACTGACAGGAAGAAGAAGAGAGGCTAAAAGAGAAATTGAAAGAATGAGAGTGAAGTGAGCCAATGGCTAGGGTTTCCTCTTTTTATACGAGGACTTCAAAATTTGTTGCACCTCAAAATAACACTTTCCACTTGGGCCAATTCAAGGGCTAAATTTGGGTGCGAAATGATTGGGCCTTAAAAACTCTTATTTGGGCCAAATGCCTTGAAGTAGAATATTGTCCAAAGATTGTTTGGCAACAAAAGCTCAACAATTTGGTATGATAAGATTAGAATTTTTCTATTATTATTATTTTTTTTAATATCCAGGTATCCCAACTTACACTAAACTAAATCCTGGACCCCCAAGACCCTTGCCCCTAGAACCTTGGAGGGGGTAAATCGCGGGTTATGCCTCAACTGGATTACAGGTTCCCCCCATTGCCTGTACACTTCTGCGCACAAGAGACCCTCCTCCACAATGATTGCTCCATACCAAATATTTGGCTGCAGGTTCCCACTAGGAATCGAACTCTTGTCGCTGGAAGCAAGACAATATTGATTGATCTACCAGTTGAGCTGTGACCTAGGGCAGTATTTTTCTATTTTTTTTTTATAACCCAGGTGTCCCAGCTTAGCCGGACTAAATCCTGGACCTCTAGCCCCCGGCCCCTCAGTGACTAGTTGAGGTAAATCGCAGGTTATGTCCTTGTTGGTTCCCAGGTTCCCACATGGCTTTTACTCCTTTCCCAAAGGGACCCTCCTCCATGGTTATTACATCACCAAGCTACTCCAACCCTTCCTCTGATTATTACATCACTTGGCTGCTCCAATCAGGAATTGAACTCCCCACACTTGGTTTCAGAGCCCCCCAATGTGATTGTTCCGCCATTTTGAATGTGCCCTGGGGGCAGTATTTTTCTATTTTATATCTATGTGGTGTTGCCTCTTGCAAATTGGAGAATTGATTCTTCTTTCAAGTTACGGGCCCACAAATATCATTCAATGAAAAGCAAATGAATTCTTTGTCCATTTTACCCTCACATTCGGGTTGAAAGAGACTATAGTGATAGGTGAGTTGATGTGCTCAATTTTCTAATCAATTGAAGGGCAAAAATGACAAAAAGACCCTGACATGAGTCTGTGGAAAGTCTGAATACTAGTCAGGACTTGGAATTTTTAAACGCCAAAAGACAAAGCAACGGTTTGAATTTTGCTTTTAATATGGTCTGTGAGACCAAACATACAAACATCCAATTATCTTATTATTACCAACGCAAAGGCAAAACCCATCTTAAAGAGATTTCGTACATGCATCCCATTTTATTCATAATTTTTAAATGGCCTTACGTTTTTGTGTTTAATTTTTTGGTCGTTTTGGAAAATATATTTAACAACATGAACCTTTTACGAAGGTATATTTGTTTTGTTTTCGAGCCAATTTTGCTTGAACTTTAAATAAGTAAATTATAATCTAATTTTAAGATGCTTGAACCGAACTACGAAGGGAGACTTAGGTATCATTGAAGGAATTAATTGCCTTTCTCTCTTTAAATGAACAATATATTTTTCTCCATTGTATTAGGACGGCAAAAAAACAAAGTCATTCAAAGAGCTGGTTCTTATCGAATTGATAAATCAGTTAGTTTTTCTCTCTAAGAATATTGTTGGTTTATCTCGTACAAGAATTAAATATTTTATGATTCAGCTAAGTAATTTAATCAAGGACCAACTTAATTCTATTCTTCTATGTCGCTATGAGACAATCTCTAAAAACTGACTCTGATTCATATTATATTAAAGAAATAAAAAAAAAATGGAAGTTGTGCATCACTACTAAAATATAAAATCCATGAATATTGGTTTACAAAACGATGCATAAGTAATGAAAAATAAAAGAATAATATTATTCATAATCAGCTATTGTAGTAGTCATCTTGCATTACATCTTAGGTAGCATAATATTAATAATTAAAAAAGAAATAACTTTTAATAAATTGCATTATTCAAAATTTAAATTCAAGACCAATGTGAATTGTGACCACAAACGTAAATGCTGTCGGAAATCATAAATAATAAGTCATGTGAAACAATGTGTAGTCAACTAACTTTTAGGGAAAATTTTATTACAGGGTACTCAACTTACATGTTTATTTCATATTGGTCACCTCACTTCAATTTATTTCATTTTGACCATTAAATTTACATTTTATTTCAATTTTACCATAATCGTTATTTTTAATTTTCTGAGCAATCAGTATTCTTATTTTTTGTGGAATTGGTGTTCGAGTTCATTACTATTAAAGAGAGTACAATCATTTCTTGGTTTGACATTATTATTTTTCTATTTAATCTTAGAAGACGTGCTATATTTTTCGGTATAAACATCCATAATATCCTGTCAGTACTATTGCAAGGGCACAAATCTTATGCATCCTTCATTGCGTTTTAAATTCATAATTTTTAAACGGCGTTCAATTTTTGCATTTTGTTTTGCTAGTCATTTTTGGACAATATATTTAACCATTTTGATATTTTTATGAAGGCCTTAAAGCCAAATTTGCATAACTTTGAATAAGTCAACTCTAATCTAATTTTGAGATGCTTGAACGATGTTAGCCAATGTGAATTCCGTATTGACTTAGAAACCCAATGTTTTTATTTTTTTATTTTTTTTTTAAACAAGTAATTTTCCTTCTCTTATAAGTATTAAATAATTTATGATTCAGCTAAGTAAATTATTAATGAACAACCTAATTCTCTTCTTTCCCAATGGATATGAAACAAGGGATGTGTGGTAGAAAGAATGAGGCATGAACCGAGGCCTTCCCGGTTGGCCTTTCTTGTCTTTCGCGGATCACCGGTGACGGCTGACGCTGCGGTAGGATCACAACGAGCTGGCGCTTCATAAACTAATTCCTTAGCAAATGAATACGTCCGTCTCTAAAAGTTGATTACGTCGTGATTGATTGATATTATATTAAAGAAAAGAGTATTGGTTATTATCTTATGATGAGCATTAGTGAGATGTCATATCAATTAATTAGTGAATGAACTTATGATAAATCTCAAAATTTGAATTAAATTTGTTATTCACGAAAGAATGAAAGTCAATTAATTATGTTACATGGGAAGTAGGTTTGAAAAAGATGCATAAACTAGTTGTGCATGTGACACAACGAACTTATTAAATATTTGAATTCAATATCAACGTGAATAGAAGCCAAAACATAAATGCTGTCGGAAAGCATAACGAAAAAGTCAAATTTGAAAAACAGTGTAGTCTTTGGGAAAATATCGTTAGAGGATACCCAACTTACAAATTTATTTCATATTAATCATCTAACTTCAATTTATTCGATTTTGACAATTCGATTAGCATTTTATTGCAAATTTACCATTACGACTGTAATTCTGATCAAAATCAACTGTTAGTCAAGTCACACACTATTTAAATAACAAGAATCAAGAATAAGGAATCTAATTGCGTTAGTGCATTTTACTATCAATTTGTTTAACAATGTAATTACAAATATAGTCCCAGTTTGGTGTGAAATAAAAACCTTGTTTGAGCCACATTCTTTCAAAAAATAAATTATTAAGAGACCATTTGGTAGCTATTTTCTTCAAAATATATTTTTCCCTCTCTTCTTTTTAACCACACATTCTTTATTAAAATAATATTACACGTAAATAAAATTTTTTTTATTATTTTTCAACCACACATTTCACATCAATTTACTATTCTAAAATGTATTTTTATATAAAAAATGCATATCAAACACCCCCTAAATAGTGATATGACATCATTTCAACTACACATTTTTTCAATGAAATAATATTACACGTAAATTCAAAACTTTTTCTTATTTTTTAATCACACATTTCTTATTAATAAACTATTCAAAAATGCATTTTTATGAAAATAACATGGCTCAAATAAGGGCAAAATATGAATTAAAATTAAAGTTAAAGTCAACAGTTAATTTCAACCATACATTTCATGAAATTAATTACTGATTTAGTACCAATTATCAGTGTCAAATGAGCACTCTTAGAGTTACATGAGACTAAACACTAAATATGTCCACAGTTTCAAACAAAATGGTTAAATTAAAATATAAATATTAGCTAAGTGACTAAGATTGAACAATCTTATAATTAGGTGGCCTCCGATAAAATTTTATCTCGTTTTCAATCTTGGCTGACGGTGTAGCGAATTTGACCTAAAGTCCATTGCTTCTTTAGCCGATGTGTAATGAATAATTCCACGCGCATCCTGCCTTATTCTTTTCTGTTCACACTTCCACTACAAAAACCCTGATTCTCAAACAGAGTTTCTCTCCAAAACACAATCATTTTTCAAGCCACGTCTTTGAAAAAACACCTTCATTTCTCTTCTTCCAGATTCCAATATAACCATATATACGTGGTCTTTCCATTCTTATTCAGGTGTTAAACAGAAATATATCATTTATCAATATGAAATCCAAAGCAGGCAACCAAAACAGGTTTCTTCGCATCATTACTATTCCAATACGTGCTTTGGGGAAAGTACGGGATTTATATGTGAAAAGCATGACAGATTACGCAGACAGGGTAAGTTATGGCAACGTTATGGGGGGTCCGGGAACCGGGCAGGCACCGACCCTTCCGAAGAGTTTCAGTGTCCACACAACGAGATCTTACGAGAATGGTGATATTAGTGAGCTCATTAGAGCTTCTTCTGCAAGGAATAGTGGCAGTGGGGTTGATCTCGATTCGTATATGCCAAAACAGATGCAAATGAAGCCACCATCTTCGGGGAGCATGGGATCGAGGGCTATGCCGAGAAGTAGAACTGTTGTTATGGGTAGAATTGATGAAGACAGGCCTTGTAATTATTTTGGAGAAAATAATGTTAATAGGAAGGTTGAGTTGATGTATCCCAGGAGTAGAAGTCATGCTGTCCCAAGACAACCTGTTTATTAGTCTGGGTAGAGGTGTGCGTAGTTGTGATAAGAAAAATTTGTATTTGTGAGACAGCCCATATGAAACTGCTCTTGCATGAGTTGAATTATTCTTTTGTTTGTTGTTACTAGAAAAGGTCGATTTGTAGTTACTATCAATTTATCATTGCAAAGATTTTTTCTTCTAAAATTATGATTTTTTCATATGGTACACATGGCAGGCTTGATATTTTGGGGGCCTTATGCCAATCTCAAATATGGGGCCCCTGTATATATATCAAATCTTTGATCGGGCTTTTTCTTTTATTATTAAGGGTTATTCTTGGGGTACATGGGGGGCACATAAGGGTATCCATTATGGACACCCGACGCCTCCTATAGGGGGACATTGACACCCTTATGTTTGGGGGTTATATATGTAAGAATTTTTAATCAATAGATGAGCTTATATATGTGAATAATTGTGTGTTAAATTATAGGTTATCGAATTCGGTTGAGCCCAATTAAAGTGATCTAATAAGGCTTCAGTCTTGGGCTTTAATGTATCCAATTAAAGTATAAATTTACATATGTGTAGAGACCGGGCCCAAGTCCTAGTTCTATGATGGACCGAATTAGGTCAAATGACGTCCCTATATAAATAGGTTATGGTCCTCAGATCACACGCATGTATTATTCATTCTCTACTGCATCACATCACAGAGAAGAAAAGGAGACTGCGTGTAGATTTGGAAGACTATATCGCGAAATTCATATTGCATTAACCATGTCTGATTCATGTATACTTCCACTTTAATTCTTGTATTTCTTGATGATTTAACATGAAAGATCCGATAATTTAAAGCATTAAATTATCCAACAAGTGGTATCAGAGTCAGGTTCATGTTAAATCATTGAGAATCGAATAATTTAATTTGGTTCTTGCAATATTTTATAAAGTTTTCAGATTTGATGATTTAGGATTTATATTTTGTTGAATTTGAAAACTTTTGCGGTATAATTTTTATTATTTTCGTAATTTAGATTAATGGTTGAGAAAATTTAGATTTGGAATTCGGATTTTGGTTTCAGATTTTCAAAAAAAAAAAAAGGTCGTCGGCGGGTACGCCAAGGCAGGGCTGCTGCAGTGCTGCGTTTTGCAACAGCACTTGTGCGCTGCTGCCCGCCGGCGCCACTCCACCAGGCGCTGCAATGCGCCAGCTGCAATTTTTAGGTTTTTAGTTTTTTTTTTCTTTTTGAGATTTGGGGGCGGGGGCTTCCTTTGTAAATTAGGTAACTTGAGGCCCTTGTTTGCAATTAGGGTTAGGGTTATAAAATTAAGGTTTCAGTCCCTAACCTTTAAGTTATATTAAGTTTTGGGCCTTTAAGTTTTGGATTTAATAATTCAGTCCCTAAGGTTTTAAAATTAATTAATTCGGGACATTAAAGTTCTGAATTTATAATTAAAGCCCTCAAACTTTAATTACTACTTCAAATTGGCCCCCTAAGTTCATAATTAATTCAAATTGACCCCTAAAGTTTCAAATTTTCAAAATTTGATCCCTAAAGTTTTGAATTGGTCAATTTTGGCCCCTAAAGTTTTAAAATTTGTTCTAATTGATCCTCTAAAGTATTGAATTGATTAATTTTGGATCCTGAAGTTTCAAGTTTATTAATTTCAACCCCTAAAGTTTGGAATTAATTATTTTTGCCCCCTTAAAGTTTTGAATTATTAATCCTAAGGCCCCTAAAGTTTAAAACTAATCAAAATATGCAAAATTGGTTATTCTCTTTCTCAAATTTTGGTACTAAGGACTCTTTTAAGAGATATAATGTTCAAAAGTTTGTTAATTGAAACAACATGTTGCCAAAGCAACATCTCTTGTGGAAATTGACTAACTTAGAATATTAAAAGGTGTTTGTGCATGTGTTATTCATGAGAATATTGGTTGGCCAAAAGGAAGGTCAATATTTAGCCGAACACATGTGTACCTGTGGTGATAAACGTATGACGATTATTTGGTTTAATGTCTGATCAATAAATCGATCCAAAGAAAGGTTTGTTGATTGACACGTTGTTTTATCGTCAATGTTTGATCACTACGCCAAGAGTACCGCTTACAAATCAATATCTCTGTCTAAAGACTAGATATTGATGTTGTGCTTGGTATCTTGTGATGAGCCCTACCACTATTTGAGAATATTATTATTTGCATATTAAAGATATTCATGTGAGCTATTCAAAATAAACGTTCTCTAATTCAGTTTCAGGTTTTGCTGCTAATATCTCTGCTAGCATCAATTCAATTCCAATGCTAAATGACACAAATTTCAGGGTTTGGCAAGAGAATGTGATGATTGTTCTCGTAGTCATGGACCTAGACTTTGCTTTACGGGTCGATCAACCTGCTGCACTTATTGATAAGAGTACCTCTGATGACAAGAGGGAGATGGAAAAGTGGGAACGATCGAACCGCATAAGCTTAATGGTCATGAAGCGTGCTATTCCAGAAGCATTCTAGGGCACTATGTCCAATAAGGTGACTATGGCTAAAGGTTTCCTTGAGGACCTTAAGAAGAGGTTTGCCAAGAATGAAAAGGCTGAAACAAGTACAATTTTGGCAAATCTTATCTTAACGAGGTATAAAGGGAAAGGAAACATTCGGGAGTATATTATGGAAATGTCTCATATTGCTTCAAAACTAAAGGCACTCAAGTTGGATTTATCTGAAGACTTGTTGGTGCACTTGGTTTTGATATCCCTTCTGGCACATTTCAGTCAATTCAAGGTGAGCTACAACTATCAAAAGGACTCATGGTCCCTTAATGAGCTCATCTCACACTATGTCCAGGAAGAGGAAAGACTGAAGCATGAGAAGACAGAAAGTGCTCATTTGGCCACTACCTCTAAGGACAAAAGCAACAAGAAAAGGAAGATTAATAACGAAGCTACGAGTACGACACCGCAAAAGTAACAGCATAAGGAACCAACAGAAGGTAGTTGTTTCTTCTGTGGAGCTATAGGTCATAAGAAGAAGAATTGTACCAATTACCACGCATGGCGTGTAAAGAAAGGTACCCTTCTTCATTTGGTTTGTTCAGAGATTAATTTAACTTCGATACCTAGACATATATGGTGGATAGATTCTGGTACAACAACTCACACAGTATGTCTATGCAGGGTTGCCTGGGTTGTCGAAAATCAAGTGATGGTGAAAGATACATCTATGCTGGCAATGGCAAAAGAATGGAAGTAGAGGCAATAAGAAATTTTAGATTATTGTTAAAGACTGAATTTTATTTGGATCTTGTTGAGACATTTATTGTACTGTCTTTTAGACGGAATTTGATTTCTATTTCTGTTTTGGACAAATTTAGTTATACTTGTTCATTTGGAAATGGAAAATTTAGTTTGTTTCATGATTCAAAATTGGTTGGTTCCGATTCTTTATCAGGTTACGATAATCTTTATTCAATTGATACAATTGCTTCTTATAATGAGACCTTGCATGTAAGTACTTGAGGTGTAAAGTGAAAATTAAATGGCGAGAATTGTGCCTCGTTGTGGCATAAGAGATGAGGTCACATCTCCAAAAGGAGAATTGAGAGACTTGTGTCTGACGGGATTCTCGACCCTCTTGACTTCACAGATTATGATTTGTGTGTCAACTGTATAAAGGGAAAACAAACCAATAAAAAGAGATTTCAAGCCAATAGGACTTCGGACGTCTTAGAACTTATACATATGGATATTTGTGAACCATTCCCTACGGGTTCTTGAAATGGTCAACAATATTTTATAACGTTCATAGACGATTTTTCAAGATATGACTACGTATATCTCATTCATGAAAAATCACAGTCACTGGATGTGTTCAAAAACTATAAAAATGAAGTTGAGAACCAACTCGGTAAAAGGATTAAAAGCGTCAGATCTGACCGTAGGGGTGAATACTATGGCAGATATGACGGTTCAGGTGAACAACGTCCAGAACTGTTTGCTAAATTCCTAGAGGAATGCGGTATTGTCCCACAGTACACTATGCCGAGTTCGTCCACTATGAATGGTGTTGCTGAGAGACGAAACAGAACGCTTAAGGCCATGGTGAGGAGTATGATTAGTCATTCTACCTTACCAGAATCTCTCTGGGGTGAAGCATTAAAGACTGCAGCTTATATACTCAACAGAGTTCCAACTAAGGCCACTGATAAAACCCCATATGAGCTTTGGATGGGCAAGAAGCCTAGTTTGAAGCATATACATATTTGGGGGTGTCCAGCTAAGGCAAGGCCCTATAAGCCAAATGAAAAGAAACTAGACGCAAGGACCATCAGTTGCTATTTCATTGGATATTCTGAAAGGTCCAAGAGTTACAAGTTTTATGATTCCACAACTAAGGCAATTTTCGAGACAGGAAATGCTAGGTTCTTTGAGGATGTTGAGTTTGCCCGGGGAGGGGGGGAAGGGTTACAGGCTTTGTCTTTGAGGAGGAATATGTTGAAATTCCTCCAATTGCCATTGACAATGATCAGGTTTCTATCCCTGATATTGTTCAAGAAGCAACTCTGGATCAAAACAATGTCATACCTCCCTCTCAAGATCAACAAATTGTTCCAGAAGAACAAACTCTACAGCCTCAAGAACTAATGCCATTAAGAAGATCCACTAGAGAGAGGAAAAGTGCGATTTCGAATGATTACATCGTATTTATCCAAGAATATGAAGTTGACATAGGAATGGTGGAAGATGATCCGATCAACTTCCGTCAAGCCATGGAAAGTTCTAACTCTCAAAAGTGGCTCGATGTTATGAATGAAGAGATAAAGTCCATGAAGGACAATGACGTATGGGATCTTGTTCCATTGCCTGAAGGTGCGAAACTCATTGGTTGCAAATGGATATTTAAGACCAAGAGGGATTCGAAAGGTGATGTAGAGAGGTATAAGGCTCGTCTTGTCGCAAAGGCTTTACACAGAAAGAAGGCATCGATTATAAAGAGACTTTCTCTCCGATTTCTTCGAAAGACTCTTTCAGGACTATAATGGCATTGGTAGCGCATTTCGATCTTGAGCTACATCAGATGGATGTTAAGATAGCGTTTCTCAATGGTGACATTGATGAAATAATTTATATGGTACAACCAGAAAACTTTGTATCGGACGATGCAAAGCAAATGGTTTGTAAATTAAAGAAATCCATTTATGAACTCGAACAGGCGTCTCGTCAATGGT